AAAGTGAGTTGTTAGAAATTGACAAACTTTTAGGACATTTGGAACTTTGTGGTTGTGGTTGTATAGGACTTTAGTTAGGCCATCGCGTACCGTTCTAGTCATCACACCACCAGAGGATGTGGGGGCTTTGGAGAAGGTACAGAAAAGATTTACCAGGGTATTGCTTGGTTTGGAGAGTGTTCGTTACGAGGAGCGATTGGGACAAACTTGGCTTGTTTTCACTTGAATGTTGGAGGCTGAGGGGCCAACTGATAGAATTAAGAGAGACCCCAGATAGTTGGACTCATTTTCCCAGGGTCAAAATGTCAATTATCAGGGGAAATGGGTTAAATGTAAAAGGGGAATGATTTAAAAGATATGGGAGAGGCAGGTTTTTACACAGAGGGTGGTAAGTGCCTGGAATGCGCTGCCAGAGGAGATGGTGGAGGCATAAACAATAGCATTGTTTAAGGGACATCTTTACAGATACAAGAAGAGGTGGTGAATAGAGGGATTATGGTCCATGTAGAAGCAAAAGGTTTTTAGTTCAGAAAAATGTTGTGTGTCGGCACAGACTTGGTGAGCCAAAGGGCCTGTTCCTGGGCTGTTGCTGAAGTGTTGTGTATAAGTAGGCATTTTTTATTTAGCCACAGTGCGACTTGGAGATTGAGTAAAGGACATAGAGCAGGATCCAATACTAGAAGAAGGAAAGGACTGAAAGCGGGGAGAAGGGTGTGGAGCAGGAGACCAGGTGCAAGAACACAGGAGTGCCTCAGCGAGGACTGTGTGAGATGGCAGGACTTCAGTCACTCAGATCTGCCATAGCAGTAGCTGCAATCAAAAAGCAACACAAAGGCTGCATTTGTGTTTCTGTGAAAGTTAGGTGTGGCAGTGAAATTTGAAGAATGGAGTCCTTTCTAGGCTATATATTTGCCACATCTTGCATCTTTCCACCATTGTTTAGGAATGTAACTGAGCTCCTTTTATTCAATGTATATAAAATATATTGGTTACATAATTCCATTACCAGATAGAGGTAGATGGCATGAACAAACTCATTCTGTAGGTTTGCAGGAATCCCAACTTATAGAGTGCCATTCACAGCAGAAACATTGCTTTGCGTGTGTTACATGCAAACTCTGCCTTGTATCAAAAATGAAATGCCTTCCACTATCTCAGTGTGCACCTGGTACGTGACTGTAGCCAAGATACGTAATGACTCAATGGACAAGGTCAGTTTGAGGTTTTACAGCACAGAAAGAGGACATTTGGCCCATCATATCCACACTGGTCAACGATCATCAATCTATTCTAATCCTATTTTCCAGCACTTGGCATGCACCCTTGCATGCTATAGCATTTCAAGTGTTCATCTAAACAGTTCCTAAATATTTTGAGGGTTCCCACCTCTGACGTCCTTTCATGCAGTGAGTTCCAAATGTTCACGAACCTGGTTGAAAAGACTTTGAGGCAATAAACTTTTTCCTCAAATTTCCTCTAAACCTCCTCCTTACCTCTAAACCCGTGCCCATGGTTATTGACCCCTCAACTGAAGGGAATATTTCTCCCTATCTACCCTGTCTATGCCTCACAGAACTTTGTATATCTCAATTCGATCCCTTCTTTGCTGCTGTAAGGAAAACATCTATCTAATCTCTCTTCATAGTTGAATTACTTCAGCCCAGGCAACATCTTGGGGAATCTCTCTGTACCCTCTCTAGTGCAATTGTAACATTCCTATAGCATGACTACCAGAACAGCACACAGTACTGTGGCTGTGGTCTAAATAATATTATTAAGTACAGCTCTATCATTTCCTCCTTGCTGTTGTATTTGATGCTACGACTAACAAAGGCCAGCATCCCATATATCACCTTAACCACCATATCTACCTTTCCTGCTGTCTTCAAGGATCTATGGACATGCACACAAACATCTCTGTTATCCTCTGTACTTCTTCCGGTCCCAACATTCAACTGTACTTCCTTGCCTTGTTTGTCCTCCCAAAATACATTACCTCTTACCTTTGAGGATTAAATTCCATTTGTCACTGTTCACCCCATCTGACCAGCTGGTCTATATTGTCCTGTAGTCTAAGGCTTCCCTATTCACCACTTAATCAATTTTCATGTCGTCTGTGAATGTACTCAAGATACCATCTACTTTCTTGGCTAGCTCATTAATGCAAGCAACAAGCAATAAGGGACCCAGCACTAAACCCTGTGCTATGCCAATAGACACAGGTTCCGGTCACAAACACACCTTTTCAAACATCGCCATCTTGCTTCCATCACTGAACTAATTTTGGAACCAATTTGCCACATTGCTCTGGATTTCATGGGCTTTGAGCTTCTTAACTAATCTGCCATGCAAGATCTTGTCAAAAGCCTGACTGAAATTCATGTAGACTACATCAATTGCATTTATACTCATCCACCCGCCCAGTCACTTCCTCAAAATTCAATCAAGTTTATTAGGCATGATCTCCCCCTTGCAAAGTGATGTTGACTATTCTGATTAATCCTTGCCTTTCCAAGTGGAGATAATTCTGTCCCTTCAGAATTATTCGATAGTTTCCCTACCACAGATGTTAAGTTCAGTGGCCTTTAGTTTGCTTGTTTATTTCTACCATTCTTCTGGAATAGCAGAACATCTAGTCATCTGTGGCCAGAGATGATGTGAAACGTTGTGTCAGAGCCCCTGTAATTTCCTCCCATACCTCCTGACAGTAACCTGGGCTGTATCTCATTTGGGCCTGGGAACTTATCTTTTTTCAAGCTTGTTAAAACTCGTTCAAGTACATCACAGTTCCGCTCCCTGATTACTATACCCACATCATCCTTAGCTGCAGCGAATACAGATGCAGAGTCTCTCATTTAAAACCTCAGCTATGTCGTCCTGCTCCACACATGGATTGACATGTTGGTCCCTAACAAGCTCTATTCTTTCTCTAAATGTTCTCTTGCCCCGAGTACACTCTCAAATTGCCTTTTAGTTTTCTTTAATGTTACCCACCAGTGTATTCTCATGTCCTCTCTTCTCTCTTAATTTCTTCTTTAAGCAACCCATGAGCTTTCTAAACTCCTCTAGGACATTACTTTAAATTACTTTAAATCTTATGGTCACTGCTTGGTATACTTAGCTTTTTTCAGGATTGCATCTGCCTCCTCAGCACTTCACTTTGGCATTGACTGTGTGATGACCATCTTGTCCCACTTCTTCCTGACCATTTTCTAGAAGACTTCCTAGCCTGCTTCAGTGTGGCCCTTCTCTTTTCATCTCCTTTACCAAGGTGTTCAGTGTGTTGTCTGAGTTCCTTGAAGCATGCTGTCTCCCAGGTCATGCCGTTCTTAAACAGTTTTCCACTTCACAGTGCCTAATACAGGGACATCTACCATCTGTTCTAGCCACTATGCTCCTCCACTTAGGAGATGCAGGCTGGCTTGAAGTAATGCTAACTAGTGATTAAGTTGTGTTTGCCTCTCATGATTTAGACTACCTGCTGATGCCTGTAGCTGCAGAACAATACATTTAATGGTGACTGTTCATTACAATACTTGTCACAAAATCGGTGTTTTGCTGGCATCAGGTTGCACTACCATTGGATAATTGCACATCATGAGGTCTAAACTCACTTTTTGGGCAGTATCCAATTTAGCCCCCTATGCAGAATCAATCCTATGATTATGTGAAAATATTTGTCAAACGTTTTGGAAATATGTAATTAAAACAGGTATTTTTGGAAACTTGCAGGAGGCATATTGGCATATAAAGAAAGAAATGAATGAGTTATCATGAAAGTCTGCATGCAATATATTTCTGTTACACATCGATTTTATTTGTTTTGTATTTTACTGTCTCACATGCAATAACAGTTAGATAGATGAGACCCAGCAACTCCTGATGGCTTCCTTGTCAGTTTTAAAGTAACTTTGCAGGGGAAAAATACCTTTTGTTTGAAAAGTAGTTTGTGCTGAAAGTATTTGATTATACTGGGTTGTCATGAAGTTATTCAATCAAGCCACTAGTTTTATACTAATTTTATTCTCCCGTTCAAGTATTTGTATGATTTTGGATAACTTCAGCTGTACTGTTTGAAGGACATGTATTTTGGGCGGACATTATTATAGTCAGACTGAAGTGATTTTTTTTTACAGAAACATTTCTTCCAATCCAAAGTGGCTGTGTGGAGTGGTTAAACACCCGTCTCATGAATGGAGAATTCCATTTATCTGTATCAAAAATGATAAACAGTTTTAAAACACCAAGGAATTAACTATTGAAAAAAAAAGTTTAATATAATAACCAGCTTTAGGCTAGGAGTTTGATGGACTTACCTTGGTTTCCAGTGAAAGTCGCCTACTCTTGTAGTTCTGTACAAATTAATATTTACTGTTTACTGTTTGGAATTCCTGTTTACACTGTGTATTCCACGAGTGGAGTAAAACACATGCTAATTGATGGTGTTTCTCTTTTACAGTCTGACAGCAATGCAAGCTTCCTCCGTGCTGCCAGAGCAGGGAATCTGGACAAAGTGCTTGAATACCTCAAAGGAGGGATAGATATCAACACATCAAATCAGGTATGTACAGTTATTAGCATTTTGGAATACTGTGATTCTTTATTGAAAATTCCTATGACTTGAGTAAAAATGTATTAGAAACTTAATCAGAATTTCGCCGGGCTTTCAGGGAAATACAATAAAAGTGTGTTTCCACTGTTTCTAAAGTTCCGAGGAAATTTACAGGCATCATCCTCTTTATAATAGGTAATTCACCATCCAGTCTTTCCCGTCTCCCCATTTCATTGCCCCTGTTTCATTGTGTAGGATTATGCAGTCTGTGTTGAAGCAAGCGTGCTTACCGTTAGCCATGAAGTAAATAAGTTTTGCTAAGTATTCCAGGGATCTTTATTGTGAGAATGTCCACTCTGTTGCTGTATAGTGTGCTGCAACTGATTACAGGGTTCTTGTTCCCAGTGTGTAACTAGAATTGTGTCAAAGCAGCCAAGCACAAGCCCTCATCCCCTAAACTGATCCCTAACCCTGGCCAGGAAACTAAATATAGTAAAATAAAATGTCATCTTTTTAACATCAAGCAAATTAATGATGCACATATTCGGCAAAAGTAGAAGCTAAATGACTGCGGAAAAGTTTTTTTTAAAACAAATTTAGAATCATTTAGAGTAAAAATATCTACTGATCATTTAACAGAATTGCATGATTCTAAATATTTTTCAGTATAATTTCTGTTTATCAGAATGGATTAGTTACACTGCCATTAAAAACTCAGTTATGCCTGATGAACAAAGCGCAACTTTTTAAAGCAGATTCCAGTGAAGCAGTAAGAGCAAGAGAGTTAAAGTCCTCACTGGAGTGAGGTGGATGTTCAGTGGGGCCGAATAGTACAGACTGTATTGAGACAAAGTGCAAGATTAAAATCAATTGTCTCCTAATTTAGGACTTGTTTTTTATATTTCTGGTTTACCTACGACATTATCCATAATTACCTTAAATCTTAGTTCAGCATTATTTGCACGTGCTCAGTATCTTGAAATTGCAATCAAAGTAGTAAGGATGAATGCTGACATTTTACTGTCAACTCCTCCTGCCCATTGCAAAATCTAGCACGATCGTTCATTAGCTGTGCATCTTTAGATGTTTCCATTGCATTGTTACATTTAGTATGTTGTATTCTAGTTCATCTAATCATTAAATAACTTGTGAACCTTAATTGCTGTTAAAATCATTTTGGAAATAATGCATCACTACTTCTATGGCAGAAACAATAGAACATGAATTAATTTTGTTGCATGCTACTTCTTTATGTTGGTTTAGACATTTTATGTTTTATTGTTGCAGTTAACCATTCATTTTGAGGTTCAGCAGTAATAAAGAAGGTTTGAAACACTGTATTTGCTATCAGATTAGGCCACTAATGCACTATTAGACAGATGCATAAGTTCAAAACATTTATTTTGAAAGTGTATCAGAGATAGTAGGAACTGCAGATGCTGGAAAATCTGAGATAACAAGGTGTAGAGCTGGATGAACACAGCAGGCCAAGCAGCATCATAGGAGCAGGAAGGCTGACGTTTCGGGCCTAGACCCTTCATCAGAAATGGGGGAGGGGAAGGGGATTCTGAAATAAATAGGGAGAGAGTGGGAGGCGGATAGAAGATGGATAGAGGAGAGGACAGGTGGAGAGGAAACAAACAGGTCGAAGAGGTGGGGATGGAGCCAGTAAAGGTGAGTGTACCTATCTCCTTCCTACCTCCCCACCTACAATCACCTTTACTGGCTCCATCCCCGCCTCTTTGACCTGTCTGATTCCTCTCCACCTATCTTCTCCTTTATCCAGCTTCTATCCGCCTCCCCCTCTCTCCCTATTTATTTCAGAACCCCCTTCCCCTCCCCCATTTCTGATGAAGGGTCTAGGCCCGAAACGTCAGCCTTCCTGCTCCTCTGATGCTGCTTGGCCTGCTGTGTTCATCCAGCCCTGCACCTTGTTATTTTGAAAGTGTGTCTGAGCCAGTAAACTAGTGCAGATAAGGAACAGGTAAAAACAGATCTTAACTTCTGAATCTAACAATGTGAACCCATTTCAGTTTAAAAACATTCCCTTGTTTGCTGAAGTGGGAACAGGTTGTTTGCTAGTTGCAATATTATGCATGAGTGTCAAGTATCTTGTGTGCTCCATTTGCTACTGAGCTGTCTTGTGGACTCTGTCCCACATTCTCTGCTCTAAGCACAACCATCTCCAGTCTCAATCTTCAAAGGACTTGATCTGTAATTCATAGGGTTAATAGCAGATGACCCTAGAGATAATAGGCAATGTACTTTAGTATGCCCAGCCTTGTCTATCAGCTGGTGAACTTAATAACTATTTCTAAATTTTACCATGGATGCTAAGAAATATGTTATAATTTATCATTATCATGTCTTGTGATAAAAATTCAAACTTGTAAAATTTGACCCTGTATACCAATCCAAAAGTGTAAACTAACTTCAAGAAATAATCAAGAATAGCAAAAAAGTGAAGACACCAAATTCACAACACCCCATTGGAAACTTGATGAGAAGTATTCAAATTTGGTCTGATGATTGTCCAGTAAAATTTGCACCTCCAGCATTGAACAGCTCCACCAACAACATCATTTTTCCAGGTCCCTGGCAATGAAAATGCAAGTTGCCAGGGTTTTAAAAAAAAGCAAAAAGTTGATTCGCTGAGGAGTTCTCACCTCTGGTCACTTTTTCCAGAGAGAACTTGAAACCGGTGACAGCAACTAACACATCAGTGGTGTTATGCCAGTTGTTATGACTCCAGCTCATGGTATTATGAGATAAATCAGATCCCTGGCAGAAACCTGGCACAATAGATCACATTTTGATTTGTTTTGGTTTTAATAAAATGTCTCTTGCGGAAACATAAACGTGCAATGTGGTAGATTTTGCTTTAGCAATGAAATCAAAGATTAGTAATAAAACAAGTGGGGAAAAAAACAAAATAAACCAAACACACTATTTTTGAAAACCAGTTCAAAAGTTTTAAATGCACAGCAAGAGTATAATCCCATTAGTCCCAAAATATTGCTATATAAATTGAAAAGAAACAAAACCACTTTTGTATGCTACCACACCGAAACCACCACTCACATAATACTCACGTCAGACTCCTTGTATTTCACACCTTAGTAGGTTTAAGTTACTTGTGACTTCAACTTTTAGACTGCAACTGCAGATAGCTTCCTACAGAAATTATTATACACCTGAGCTTCAATATGCTCAGCTCTAAGTAACCTCTTTAGGATTTTATCCCAACATTTTTGGTCTGGAACTATCGTTAATTCACCTAATTTACCAAATATCTTTCCCTTCTCTGGAGCAGTGGTCTATACAGCCATCCTATTCCAAGTTCTTCACTAGACTTCCCAAAACTCAAAGTGAAACTGAACCCAAAAGTATTTATCCCCAAGTGATGGTGTTTCCCTAATGCTTAAAAAAGAAACAAGTTCCAGAAGCCACTAATAAACCTTGCTGCCCCATTATTTACGTAACTGGGATGAAAAACTATCTAAGATAAACAAATAAATCATCAATGGTGCACAAAAACCCATTTATTTTAATACCAGGTGTCAACAATCTATTTTTTAAAAAATCATCTCAAAAATATTTGCAAGTTAACCATTAAAACTTCTGATATATAGAAACCTTAGAGATTACTAACTCAAAAACCAGAAACCCAAACTTACAATATACCCATAGTCAATACCACACAATTATGGTAGTTAAGGGATTAATTTTCAGCAATCTCCCCCATGTAGGGGAATGTTTTCAGTGTCGTACAGACCTGCACTGTCAGCAACTCGGGGGAGATGATGGGCTAGTGGAACTGTCACTGGACTGTTAATCCAGCGACCCAGTAATGTTCTGGGGACCCAGGTTCAAATCCCGCCATGGCAGATGGTAGAATGGAAATGTGATAAAAATCTGGAATTAAGAGTCTAATGATGACCGTTAGTCCATTGTCGCTTGTTGGGAAAAACCCATCTGCTTCATGAATGTCCTTTCGGGAAGGAAACTGCCATCCATACCTGGTCTGGCCTACATGTGACACCTGACTCACAGCAACATGGTTAGTTCTTAACTGCCCTGTGGGCAATAAATGCTGGGCCTCATCCAATGAATGAATGTAAAAAATCCCAAAGTACGGGGCAGTAGCAGCACTGTGAAAGGTTGGAGCTACATCAGATTGTAAGGCATTTTAATGCCACTGGCAAAATATCGTAAAGCTGATGAATTCCTATAATATAGGCTTGCCATAACTTGAGGACTTGATGCAGAGTAGCCACTCAGACTGATAGTGTGCCAGCCACTTTCCTGATAACGATGGCACCTCCCGTGTGTACCCTGTACTCCTACATCTCCTTTATGGTTACACAACAGAGGTTTGCCAGTCACCGAGCCATGGGCCTTGCTGTTGGCACTGCTATGTGCTTATGGAGTCCACTTGTGTCTTTAATTGGATGGAAGTTCCACAGGCAACTTCTTCATTGACCAGTTCTCACAAGACTCCACCCTGAACTTCCACTACTGCTGTGAATGGACTCAGCACCCAAAGCTAGCCATGATAACCTGAAAATTTTCAAATTTTGGAAGATTTGTTCCAAAATGTTGAGCTACTTCTTCGATATTCACGAATACTACATCCATAAGTTCCCTACCATAAACATCCTGGAAGTGGATTTGCAGCTTAGGCAGGGTGTGCTCTCTGATCACTAGAAACTGAACTGTACAACCACATAAATGCTGTAAATATAAGAATAGGTCAGAGACTGGATATTCTGTGTTGAATGTCTCACCTTTTATCCTGTCCAGCAACAAGTCACAAATCAGAAGGAACACTCTCCACATTTTTATTATTTCAACTGCGCCCATTCAGTTAGGAGACTGGAAACTATTCAGAATAAACTAAATGACTGGTCTCCATCCACCATCGTTGAATTCATTGCACTCTCAGTGACACACTGTGGCTGCTGTGTGTACAATCTACAGGATTTTCCTGCAACATTTTGCAAAGGTTGCTCCATCAGGATCCCAGATCTATGTCCTCTGCCACTAGAATGACTGGGCTAGCAGGTGTATCGATAGTAACTCTGTGGATCTCATTTTCCTGACTTGGACATACGTTAGTAAATGTATTTGAATGTATTCAAGGGCAACTGGATATAGCACTTGGGGTTAATGGGATCAAAGGTTATTGGGAGAAAGCAGCATTAGGCTATTGAGTTGGACGATCAGCCGTGATTGTGAAGAATGGTGGAGCAGGGTCAAACGGCTGAATGGCTGCCTCCTGCCCCTATCTTCTGTGTTTCTATGTAGATGCTTGCTTTTTTGGTATACCTAGATATCTTTTTTTTTCAAATTGGCTGTACCTTGCTGCTGCAATTAGATTGGATTGTTTCTAGTTGCATGTGTGGCTAGAGTTTTTTGTATGCAGAATGAGGGGTTTACATTTTATATCAGCTGCTCTGATTTTACTTACTAACTGGTTTAACAGATTTTAAATGGATCAACTGCCTGTCTTCCGATCATTAAAGATACCCAGTTCCAATTTCATTGCTTGTAGAAAGTTATGTTTTAAGAGCAAACTCCCTTTTCAAAACTGTATACAAAGAATTTTGAAAAATTAAATGAAAAGGTAGTGCAGGTTGTATCTTGAAATCCAGACATTCATGTGATGGTGTAGTTAGCTCCAATCAAGTTATTTGGATTGCTATATTTTCCAATTAATGTGTCTGTCCAGACAGAAGTACTGAAGTTTATTGTTTCCTTACATGTATTAACATATATTGTGCATAGTGTTTTAGAGAGTTCAGCTTTCCAATTTGTCTATGGCTAAGAAGTTGAAGTAAAGCTCCAAATTAAACAGACTACATTTCAAAAGAGCTGTCTGAATAGAGTTGACGGAAATGTTTGTTGATTACGTTTTTTTAGGATGTAGATGAACCAGACAAGCTGTATGCTTTCATAAATGATAATATGCAAAAGGATTCAGTGTGAATACCATTCATCACATTAATTCATCTGAATACAAGTAATCATATGTATGTATATTTTTCTATTGAAATGTAGTTCTACAACGGTATGTGTATTTTACTGTTACAGAATGGCCTCAATGCATTACATCTGGCAGCAAAAGAAGGACATGTGGACCTTGTGCAGGAATTATTGGAGAGAGGTGCAGTTGTTGATTCATCGACAAAGGTAATATATGACTTCAAATCCACTAAACAAAATGCTTCCTTAAATTGTGCCATTATATTTGAAGAGTACTACTACATAGGAACTCCACACTCTTGTAGTCAGAATAAAATGGAGATCCTGAGGTCAAACAGCATCCATATTTGTTATCTATGTCACTTTGGCTCTGTCTTGTGAGGTTGTGTTTCCTGCTTTTGAAGCTTTGTGCATCATTTCGTTAATATCACAACTTAGCTTCTGAAGGCAGAGTTTCTGCTTGAAGCTAATTATTAGTGTAAACAGAGCATTGGAAAGGATTAATCAATCAAAATCCTTTTCTCTGAAAATGTTGGAGAAACAAAATGAAAGAATAAGTCTAATGCAAATTAACAGGGTAGAAGGAATGATTAAAAGAAGTTAATAACTAGTTATCAGATGTTACTACGTTTGGACTGAAGTGATGAAAAAAGGAAAGACTGTGGAGAAATGATGTAATTTTGAATTCCTGACAAGGATAAAAGTACGTTTAATAAGTCTTGATTTCAACTCAGAGGGCTTCTCAGAGAAGAAGCATTTGGATCACTTATTTAGAGTTTAGGGGAAAGCAGGGGAAGAGTTTAAAAGACTGACTAGAAATGTAGTAATATGAACGTTAGTGGCCAAAGTTGGATTGTCTAACAGATGAGAAGTTTCCCCTTGTATTCTTTCCAAGACCTTGAGAGAAGAGTGGTAAAGTTGTTCATGATATTGGAGAACTATTCAAATTTGGGTCAGGTTCAGGTTTTGTACAGAAGTAAAAGGTGATGAGGGGATGGCAGTACTGAGGGAAAGAATATTCAAAGAAGAACAGTGAGTAAGCATGGTCTGAGGAAAGGTGAGAAGTTGAAATTGTAATGAATGTATCAATCAGGATTGGGAGTAGTCCATTCAGCCCTCCTAGTTTGATCTGACTGTAACCTTAAATCTGCCTACTTGCCTATTTCTGATAACCTTTCAACTCCTTGCTTCACAAAAATCTATTTACCTATCCTTTCAAAAAAAAATCAAGAACTCTGCTTCCACTTCCTTTTCAGAAGAATCCTTTGAAGAGAATTCCAAAGACTGACTACCCTTTCAGAGAATAAAATTTGCCTCATCTCTGTTTTAAATAAACAACTCCATATTTTTAAACAATGACCTCTACTTCTAGATTCTCTGATAAGAAGAAAAATCCTTTGCATATCTACTCTGTCAAGACCCTGTCAGGTCCTTGTGTTTCCATCTAAACACTACTTATTCTTCTAAACTCCAGCGGATATAAGCCTAGCCTGTTCAACCCTCCCTCATGAGATAACATGCCATGCCAAGTATTGGTCTAGTAAACCTTCTCTGAATTGCCTCCAATGCATTTATATCCTTCCTTAAATAAGCTGAATAACACTGAGCAAAGTATTTCAGTTGTTGGCATGATGTAACCCTCAATTGGGCATTAGTTGCAATCCATGGGCCATCCTGTCGGGATTTAATTGATTTGGAGGATGGAAGATGGTGGACTCGCCATTTGCCACCCTTTCCCCGATCAGATATTTTGCTGCAAAATTCAGGACAAGGGATTGCACAAAATTCCACCCATAGGGTGAATGGTGGAACCTGGATCTTCCAGATGTTGAAGGACTGTGGGATTTTTTTGGTCCAAAAAGTATGAGATAAGAATATAGATACAGTGGGTTAATAAGACAGTGCAGTAAGGTATACAGTGTATACCTTCTTTCAAAAAGAAAAATTGTATTTGTTTTTGGGATATGCTGCAAATCATATTTTATTTCCAGTCCCTGGTTATTATTAGAAGTTATTTCTTTTGGAAAGTCTTACAAAGTAGCTCTGATGTGAGTCTTCGGTATTCCATTCCAGGATTTTCACTCAGTGATGCAGAAGGAATAATGACATGTATCCATGTGTGTCATGGTTGAGTGGATGAGTGGGAAGATATTCTGCTGGGTTGGTGGAGGTGATGCTGTAGTTGGTACAGGTCAAAGAGATGTTTGTGGTGTTTGCTCAGTTGCAGCTTAAGCTTCCCAAGCAATTTCAGGACTTTAGGTATTCTGCAAGGTCCTATTATGCATGTCCTGACTTCGGTCTAGATTTTGACAATTTAAGTATCACAAGAATTTGACCATTGGTCATGTGAAATCACTTTAAATTGAGTTGGATAATTAAGGAGCTGAGAAGATTCATGGGCACTAGCACTGGTGCTGGGTAGGAGTGAGCTGTTCCATTGGAATGGGCTCCATTCAAGCGAGGCTGAGACCAGAGCACTGGTGAGCCACATAGCTCCATTGGTAAATGGGGTTTTAAACGAGTGGAGGGATGAGATGGCATTGGGATGATTCAGCAATGGATAAATTCAAAAGCATTTGAGAAATTTTGAGGTTGTGGCTTTGGTTAAAAATAGTAGAATAGATCAGAAAAGTTTTTAGTTTCAGTTTTGAGATTCTGTCATCCCCCCTGTCCATTAGACCATAAGACACAGGAGCAGAAATTAGGCCATTCGGCCCATTGAGTCTGCTCTGCCATTCAATCATGGTTGATAAGTTCCTCAACCCCATTCTCCCACTTTCTCCCCGTAACCCTTGATCCCCTTGATAATTCAGAACCTATCTATCTCAGTCCTAAATGTACTCAATGACCTGGCCTCCACAGCCTTCTGTGGCAGTGAATTCCATCAATTCACCACTCTCTGGCTGAAGAAGTTTCTCCTTATCTCCATTCTAATAGTTCTTTCCTTTACTCTAAGGCTGTGTCCTTGGGTCCTAGTTTCTCCTACAAATGAAAACATCTTGCCAACATCCACTCTGTCCAGGCTATTCAGTAGTCTGCAAGTTTCAATTAGATCCCCACTCATCCTTCTAAACTCCAATGAGTATTTTCCCAAAGTCCTCAAATGTTCCTCATATGTTAAGCTTTTCATTCCTGGGACCATTCCCGTGAATCTTCTCTGAACCTGCTCCAGGGCCAGTACATCCTTCCTGAAATTTGGGGCCCAGAACTGCAAACAATACTCCAAATATGGCCTGACCAGGGTCTTATAAAGCCTCAGTAGTACATCCCTGCTTTTATATTCAAGTCCTCTCAAAATAAATGCCAACATTGCATTTACCTTCCTGACTACTGACTCAACCTGCAAGTTTACCTTGGGAGAATCCTGGACTAGAACTCCCAAGTCTCTTTGCACTTCAGACTTCTGAATTTTCTCCCCATTTCTGTCCTAGCCGGTCCAAACCATTTTTCTCTGAAAACTGTTTTTTCGTATATACCATTATAGCTTCCCTTTAATACCTTGAAAACTTGATGAAATCACTTTTGCTTATTGAATTCCACAGAATAAAGCTTTTGTTCATGTAATCTCTCTTCCAAGTTTAAGCCTAGAAGACCTTGGCTTTCTACTTGTCCATCTAAGTCACCATAAACATAATGGGTACTTGGAGCTGCAACACAAATCCTTGCTGCACGTTTCAAGTCAGATTCTGCTAATTATAGGACACAGCCATTACCTTTACTCATTGTCTCCTGACGCTAAGCCAATTACCTAACCAGGCCAATAGTTAGCCTTAAATTCCAGCTTTAACATGCAAGAACAGTCTCTAACAGACTTAATTGAATGTCTTCTGGAAGTTCATATAAATTAGATGCTTGTACCTTACTCTGGCCACTGCTTTAGTCACGTCTTCAAAAAAAATCCATTTACAAATCTATGCTGGCTGTCTCTGCTCAGATGAAAATTCTTAAGTGGTCTGACAGAATTGATCATGGAAGAATGTTGCTTCTGGCTAGGGGAGTCTAGAACCAGGAGTCACAAGTCTCTGAATAAGAGGCTGACTGTTTAGGGGCTGAGATGAGGAAAGGTTTATTCACTAAAGAGGTAATAGATATTTTGTAAGTTACTACTTCTGGGCTGTGGGTGCTCAGTAATTGATTATATTCAAAACAAAGATCAAAAGATTTTTGTATTCTCAGGGAATTGAGGAATATGGAAACCATAGGAAAGATTTCGCTGATGTGAAAGATCAGCCATAATCTTGTTGAATCACAGAACGTGCTCAAAGGGTGGAATGATTGAGTCATGCTCATATTTGTTATGGTTGTGAAATAAACAACATTAACATATTCAACAGCTGCATGCTATTATTTTCAAAAGTGGGCCAGTATCCAAGATTTAGCCATCTAAATGTTTTCTACTCAAAGAACCTCAGTTCTTTACTGATGAATTTTACTGAACCTGAATGTTAAAAAGACCTTTCTTAAAAATATTCTCTGTCTTCAGGAAATGCATTCTTTTCTGTCTTTGCCTCTCTGTCCTGAAGGTGGAGGCTTGTCATAGGCTTTCTGACATTCTTTCTTTCTAATTATCTTGTCTCTCTTTCTAGAAAGGAAACTCAGCCCTTCACATTGCATCTCTGGCTGGACAAACCGAGGTGGTAAGAATTCTAGTGAAGCAGGGAGCCAATATCAACTCACAGTCCCAGGCAAGTAACTGAAACGTGTCACGATCGACAATACTCTACATTTAGCCTAAAACTGGCAACACACAAGTTGCCTTCTATCAAGCAGTGTCGTTCTTTCTGAAATTAGCTCTGCTCCTGGTATCACTTTGCCATTCATCAATATGTGAATTTATGAACCAGTTTTGAACCTTGTGAGTTTCTATTTCGACCGACTTGTCTTTAAAGCATTAAGCAAATGTATTATAACAGTAATTCAACATTCAAAGTCTTTGAAAAATTGCTAAAGAGAATGATTTTCATATATCCATGGGGAATGTTCAGTGCTTTTGTGTCTTTCCTATCATTTTGATAATTGACCCTGCAAATTGGAGAATTGCAGCCAATGTGGGAGTGGGGAGTTCAGTGGAGACTGACTCTTTGCCCACAGCACTGAGAAAGCTCACCAATCAGCGTGCTAAGAGCTGACTTACAAACTGATTGGCCGATTACAAGCCTTCAGAATGGAGTCTCCCCCTTTCAGAAGCTGCCAGCCCAGCAGAAGAGGTTAAGTGGCTTTCTTTCGCTTCTCAGTAGGAGGTTGTGTGGAAATGGAGGTCAGGGGAGTTGGTGGCAATGGCAGGGATGTGGTTTTAAGAGACTATTGCCATTCCTCCCATTTGGGCCTTCGTTTGCTCCCAGGATGTGGAAGACTGATTCCCCGGCGTCCCCACCTGCGATAAACAGACAGACAGGTTGCCCTGATTTTCCAGTCAGGAAACCAGCCACTTTTCTTCCCTGCCAGAGAGGTAGGTAATTGGGCTGGTGGTGAGTTGAGACAATTAAATGGTGAGTTGATTGACCAATATAGAGCATTAAGTGCTGGCAAGTTGAGAAAATCCCCAGTGGGTCCCTCTAGTCCAGCACTTAATTATTGAGAGGTGGGGTGGTGAGAAGGGGCAAGCATCTCTCTCCAGAACTAACTTATCCAATTACTTTCTGCTCTTACCACCTCTCTTGACAACAACAGGGTGGAAAAATTTCCACTCAATATCTTTACAAATTGCTTATAAAGGCTCTGAGTTTGGCGTATGATTTGCAGTTTACAAATTACAGCCCTTATCACACACTGTTATCCATATAATATGCACTTGAGAGGGCATTTTAACCTGTAGCAAAAACAAAATAATAGTACGATACTACTTTGTCACATAATCTTGAGTATTCTTTAGGTATGTGATTTATATTCTCTCCAAGTTATTTGTGTTTCCAACGCTTATTGTTTCACATTAAATGTTATTGCAATCCAGCTCCATGAGACTATGCATGTATATGTATTGTTTGCAAGTACATAATTTTCTCAAGCATCAACAATAGTTAGTTAAGAAATTTAGCAGAATCTATCTTGCACTTAATAATCCCTCAGCACTTAGTAGCAGCTGCAGAGCAGAGTGTAATGTGATTCCCCAGGGGAGATTTTAACTTTCACCATCATGCAGACAGCTGGTACAGGGATTAACCCCACTCCTCCCCTATAGACTGTGCCTTATATTCCTTCCCAGTTTGAGAAAGGTACCACAATAATCATGGGTTGTTGAACCTTAATGTCAATTGGACAAATTAATTTGACAAAGATAGACTTGAGGAAAAGTTTATAGATTGTGTTTGCCACTGTAACATCGAGCAATATATTATGGTATAAATTGGGAAACGACCAAAAGTGACCACCATGTTGGTAGTGACACCGTAGCCTCTGCTCAATATCATAATCATGAGCCCTGAACCTTGTCCAGGTCTTGGGCTCATTTAGTATTACCAACAAACTATTTGGATGCTCTTTAGCATCTTGCTGGATTGCTGCAGTGGCAAATTAGCTGCCTTTTCCATGGAGCCACATGGAATGGAAGGGTGAAGATGAGATTAGGCTGGCATCTAGCAGAGTTTTGTGAGTCCAGGAGGAAAATTAATGCTGCATTTAGTCTCAGTTAAATAGTTTTTTTTACCTTGAAGAAGCAAAATCTCACTTTTCCTGAAAGGCTTCCAATGATCCCTTTTAAGCCACCAAGCACTGACCCCAGAAGCAGATCCTAATTGGCTAAGATGGCAGCCTAATGCTGACATAGGTTGGTTAAAAGGCCTGCTTTGGTTGTCTACTATGTTATCGCAGTTCAGTTTGCAGCTGTTAGGCTTTCTAGCTCTCACCACTCACACCCCCTCAGCTTCCACCCATCGCTTCCACAGAATTTCATACCCTTTATTTTACCTCCATGCCAACACATGCCCCACACCCACCCAAGTCTATGACTCCTTAAACCCACATGTCACCTCCATAATCATTCACCCAGTATTCATCATGGGCAGACCTCAAGAGCCATGTATAAATGAAAAGAAAACTAATAACAATGTAATACAGCTCCCACTCGTTCACACTCAGTACTAAAATAACACTCCATTTGTGAAATCCATTCAAAGCCTTTAAATCTCTTCAGATGTTTAATCTCTGACAGAAATCAACAAATTTGTATTCCGACCCCACATCAAAGGCAGCAAATGTTGTAACAGCTTTTTCATGCTGTCAATCGCACTGGAAATTCAGAAACCCCTGCTGAGACAATTGTAGCTCTTGAAACTCTGTTAAGTATTCATCATGGCATAATATCCCTTGGAGTAATGTGACCAAAGAATTCTATTAAAACAGCAGGACAAGATGGCATTTTTTTTCCTCCTAATCTCCATCAGATGGCCTGTCAATCAAAGCAATTCAGGAGATTTTTTAACTCCTGACAGTTTAAGCCTATTTTTAAAGGATGGGGGGTTTGGTGGGAATTAAAAAAAAATGACAGATCTTATCCACCCTTCAAGAATGTTTTATATCTACTCCATAAATTTGTAATCCCAATGTGGATTAATGCCCTTGCAATAGGTGCTGAGTGTCTGTTTGAAACTCGGCATTAGTTCAAATGGCCTGGCTGAGTTTGGATTTTCTTCCCTGTGAGATTCACAGCCTACCCCTTCTCATGGCGAGTAAAACACTTAATCTGTCAGAGGAAGTGGGGTCAGGTATTCGGTTTCACCAGCTCACCATTTCTATAGCTCCACATGCTTTTGCAAGTTTGCAAAAAGTTTGGCTTTTTATGTCCAATTCTAACTATCACACTTTTTAAGGAGATTGTCAAGTACTTGGAAAAGGTGCAAAGGAAATTTGCCAGAATCGTATCAGAGATAACGAAATTCAGTTGTGCGGAGAAACTCGAAATTTTTGTGGCAGAGTGAAAAGGCTTTTATCTTTGGGTCTGTCTGTATTAAACCTGACAAGGTGCATTTACATAGCATCTTTAACGTCATAATTCCAACAAAAGTGCTTCTTAGGAGTGGTATTGAACAAAATTTGACTGAAGCCATGTAAGGTGATGCTATTATTATTAACAGTACTGGAGTTGAAGAGGTAGACTTTGAAGATCAGCTTATGGAAGGTAGAGGAGAAAAGAGGCAGAGAGGTTTAGAGAGCACATTCCAGAGCATGTGAACTAGATGTCTAAAAATACAGCTGTTGGTTCTGTTGCAAAGGTAATTAGGGAATCCCTGTGACTAATGCTAACAAAGGGCCTGGATCATGGAAATGCATTTGTTCCATAACAACATTGCTTCAATAACCTCTTAAAAATGCACTTGAGCTATTTTTCACTTTCTATGCCATATGCTAATAAATGGTACTTGATTCAAAATTGAATTGGTAGCCTTGTCACCCCAATAGCTTGAAAGAACAGGAAAGTGCCATTTTAAGAGATCTACCACTGGAAGTGCAAATTCCATTTTAATATGCAAAACATGATCTGAGAATCATGATGACCTTTTCAGTTTGGAAGCAATACCAACCTGATCCTCAAACAAGTACGTGAAAGTGAAAATTGGTCACATTATTTTTAGTTATTTAAAACAACAAATCTATTTTTTAAGCTCTTCACTGTCTTCAAATGTTTATTGTGAATAGCAAGCTAATTTAATTGGTTAACATCTCCAATAATTTGGTACCATTTAACTGGCTGGAGTATAAGTGGGTTCTTAAAGTAATTAATGATTTCAGTGCAGTCTCAGATTCAATGATAGTTGTGTTGTTAGTTTGAATTTATTAATTGTAATTCACCTTTTTTTTTGATTAGGGTTAAAAGGAGCAATGATTTTTCTTTAGCAAAAACAAAAATTCCATGGGACTGATCTACAGATATGCAGGAGGGTGACAATCTGATTTTCTGAGTGAACATTTTCAAACATAATGTTGTCATATAAAGTTACATTTTGAAGAGTTTCACAAAACGTGATCACGTTTCTTTTACTACCCAGTATGCTCTGGGAAGTTTTTGCCTTGCATTCAGTGGTTTTCAAACTTTAGTGAAACACACCTGATGAAGAGCTGACCTATTTATGAGTTCTGAAGGCAAGAAGTGGTACATGTGTATGAGTGACCAGCTTGCAGTTAGCTCTATATTCAGTAACTCAGTAATTTCTGTAAATTGACTCATGGAAAAGGAATTAGTATTTTGTATAGTATAAGTAAAGTCACACTAAGTTCAAGACCACGTTTAGAAACAATGTTATGAAAATTCCCATACAAAAGCTCAGATTAGAATTTTTTTCAAAATTTCTAGTGAGCTACCTTAGCAGAGCTAGATAACAATTTATTTTAAACGATCATACAGCAAATTTTCTGACCAAATGAAATGTTTAATAATTGTGCTATGATGTCTCATGGTATAAACTGTGTGCTTTTTTTTTGGTAACTCTTATCTTTACCACAATGTTGAAGGAAATCAATGGTCTTCACTTTCTGCTTTTACATATATGACCCAATGTAGATTTTCAAGGTAGAAATAGCCAGTGGTACTAATTATTCACTGCTATAAGTGAAAGCATCCAATGGTTATGGTGTTGTGCAGTCTAGGATGACTTTCGTTCTGTATGTGATATTTCTTCTTGAACTGAGCATCTGATTCTATATCCTCTCATCACTAAGCCTACTTTCATCTCCATAATATCATCCATCTGAA